TGAATTTGAATTAAATATTTTTGTCTTCATTCTATTAGTCATCACTAGTTTCGAACATTTTCTTTTAAATTTAGTTGCAATTATTTACTTTCACTATCCTTTGTTTTCTTTCCTTTCTAGCGAATCATTATCAAGCAATCGCCAAAGGTTGATATTGTGTCTTGTGACGTTTTTGGAAGACTTGCAGACAAATTTTGCGCTATATATATATATATATATATATATATATATATATATATATATATATATATATATATATATATATATATATATATATATATTAATGGAATTTTTAATTTGCCGTGTTAAAGTTTGTTGGAATGTTGAATTTTTAAAAAAATTACGTACGTAGAAACAGATAAACACTGTCCTCCATTTTGTCGTCGAAATTTTCTTAACCCACGATGTAAACATAACAAATAGTGACTATAACACCACTAAAATGAAAATACCTCCCTGTAATGATAAACGCTTGTAAATGGGCTTTTTACTATCCTATCCCAAATCAATTGCAAGTTAACTGATAATATGTTTCAATCTCTTCACATCGAGATTACTTTCTGGTAATGTGACGTAGGTTACTGAATTTTTAGCGTAGTATAATGTCTCCAAGTCGCGATTATGAAATCCCCAATAAAGCCACATCAATTATTTATTGAAAATTCATGCTGGAAATGTCTTTCTTTCACCAAATGAAGCTTCTCTTGTTGCCAAGTAAGATCCATCCTAGGTGAAAGTGGTTTCTTACGTAAACAATGTCTTGGTTAGAAAAGCAGCATCATTCACTTGTTTTTCTGATAAAAAGTTACACAAGTTGTCTTTCTGGTGGGTCATGGGCCCGCAAGCTCTAAACACGGTTGAAATCAGATGGATAAAGTGTCTCATTAAGAGTTTTATCGATATTAAACAAGATTTTCTTAAAAATAATCAATTTATGATGGAAATTTTCACTTTCTCGTAAAAAACATAGAAGCAAGCAACCTAGAAACCAGGTTCAGATTAAAAATTAAAATTAAACTTTAAAACATCCTTAAATCAGCAAAATATTATTGAACCCTATTTGGATCAAACAATGTATATATTGATCAAGTCTTTATGACCCATTCTTTACGCGCCACCTACTTACAACTCTTAAGGCTGTTTTAAGACTTCATTGTAGTAATTTTAGAGACAGATAGAGTTTTCAAGGACCACTGTAAGCTACTGTCAAATTGAGAATACTGACTGTCAGTGTGTATTGTATGTGCGTGATAATAAAGAAGTAATAAATTCCGATTGTCACATGTATGATACCAAACATAAAAATGATCTATGTGTGTAAACAAAACTCAATAGTTTTATTATCTTTATTGGTAATAATTAAATTGTAAAATAAAACAGCTGTTCCACGATTGAATTAAAAAACCCTGTACACCGTCTACTTCATATTAATTTTGGTCGCAGATTTTATTAATACTATGGAAAATCTTGACAGGATTTGTACTATGTCCCCTGTTGGGTTTATTAAATATTTATTAAATAAATTTTGGACTGATTCTCCTCCATTATTTCCGTATCTTTTTAAATTTTTTTGATTTATGTATGAGCCCTACACAGTAGAACAACGTGTTTACATTATTGACATGTATTTTCAAAATCGGTCTTCTATGAGAGCCACGTTTCGATGAATTTGTGAATACTCTGGAGTAGAAATTCAACACTACAGGATTTATGGAGGATATCTAGGCAAAAATCAGGCAATGTCCTGTCGTTCGGTTCAGAAATTTCGCGAAGGTGTGGAGAAATCCTGTTAAACGGTGCCCAGAATTTTTGGCCGAACTTCAACAAGAGCTAAAGCCAGCCGATCATGGGTATGGTCTGTTCATAGATATAAGAAAGTGAGGAATTGCTTTTGAATGGGATTATCCAAGGGTGGTCATTAACATACAATGCAACAAGAATATTACCTAAAGTTTCGGAATTTAAATTCAGGTAAAATAGTGGTTCCTTAAGAGAAAATAATTTTATACCTACCTGTGTTTAATATTCTTTGGTTTGATATGCTACTTAGTTTAAGTTTATTAGTAATCATTCTTATTTCGTGGGTAATACAGCGTGTGTTGAATCGTGTGCGAATTATACAAAATATGTGCGCTATTTCTACTATTCTATTGAGACTACTATTCTATTGAGACTAAGGAAGTTATAAACAGCAAGCAAGCATCTTTAGAAGAAACGGCCACATTGACGAAAATTCGAACATCAACTGTATGGAAAATTGTGAATAATCCCATTTCAGTAAGGAAAAAAAGGAGCGGTGCTGACATTTTCTCGAGTGTAGATGGAAGTGATCAAGATATAATACGGCGTAAAATTTACGCTGAACAAAAAGTGCCTACATTAGATATCTTAATTAGGAGGCTTGACCTACATTATGGAAGTGCATTCAACACAAGGGTTTAAGATTTAAATAAATTGACAAAAGGCAAGTTTTAATGGAATCTTTTAGAATTCGGAAATGGCGGCTGAAATATTTAAAAAAAAATTGGATTTACAGAGAACAACAAAGGCCAATTATTTACTTGGATCAAACCTCGTTAGACACTTATGATACCCCGGAAAAGGGTTGGGTTGACTCAACTGACTGACTCAAGTGCAAAACAAACGCGCCATCAAAAAAAGGTAAAATAATAACTATTTTGCATGCTGACTCTAAAGATGGTTGGATTCCAAATATAAAAAAATATTAAAGGTTGTTCTGTGGATTACCATAAAGACACCACCGCTGATTTATTTGAAAGTTGGTTCAAAAGCAAACTAGTTCCAAACATTCCTCCTAATAGCGTCATTGTAATGGACAATGCAAGTTATCACAGTAGACAGTTGACTAAAACCCCTTCCTCGTGTGACACAAAAGTCACAATGCAAAACTACATGTATAATAACGACATTTATTTTCACGAAGATTATACCAAAAAGCAATTAACTGAGGCTCTACAAAGCTTGAAACTATAAAAAGAATACGTCTGTGATAATCATGCAAAAAATCTAGGGCATACAGTACATACTGTATATTTAATGCCATTGAACATGTTTGGCACCAACTGAAATCTGCCATTCGTCGTAACAATGTTTTTTCCCGTGTTAACCCCAATGTCCTCAAACTTACAGAAACCGAAGTTTTTAACATCCCTCCACAAAGTTGGGCAAATTCTGTTAAACATATAGAAACAGCAGAACAATCGTATGTATTGCAAATAATATAAAAAAAAATAATTAGAACAGGCGATGATGGCGATAGTGATATTAATATATTATGTGAATAATTTTAAGTAAGTTAAGTAGGTAATAAAAATAATTTGTAATTTTATTTTAGATTTGAACATAAATAATAATAAGTAAATAAATATTGTTTAGTATCTTTCCTAACAAAACCACAAATAATTAAATTCTAAGCAAAGTACGGACCTGCTTGGCCATATTTGATTCTTACAGCTTGCCTGGGTATTTCCTCAATTCGTATCAGTTAGTCACTTTCTTATATCTATGAGCAGACTTTACCTATTATGTTATTTTGAAATGGAATATAAGTTTGCGCGTCTAAAAGTGCTAGGATTATGGTTTTTTTTGTAGGATCTTCAGGGAAGTCTGGAAGGTTTATTTTTTTACTTTTTTCTGTAGTTTCGCTGCAGATTGACCACTCCATTCCATAGAAAAGTGTAGAGAAAATATAGCATCTAAGGAGTATGATTTTGATGTCTGATTTTTTTCTTTATTCTAATTCTAATTTTCTGCCGCTGATTTCAATCCTTATTAACTATGATTATAGATTATGTAATAATTTGTGTAAACTGTAAAATGCTTTATATATGTGTGTTGTCAATCATAAAGTCGTACCTCATACCTATTTCTTTAATAATTAGAATGAATTTGGTTTTACGAATCTTTCTTTGATTTCTAAGCCATATTGAGGGCTGATTATTTTATTAATGCCGTGGGTAAATGTCGAATGCTGATCAATCGTGGCCCATTTAGATGGATTCCTATGTCGGTATTCTCAGAGGCTTCACTGAAGATTTCGTATGAGCGCAGACTGAAAATGAGTAACGAAAGGATACACCCCTGTCTAACTCCACGGTCTTGATTTGGGCTGACTGATTCCAATAAAGGTTTCTGATAATTCTCAGATCTTTATTATCCATTCCCGTGTCCCTCCATAATCTTTTCATGCTTTATTTGTGTGCTAAATTGCTTTTCGATAGTCCACAACACAAGCGAAAATATCAGAATTCGTATTCATACAAGTTTATAGATTCTCTCTCTCTTTAGCATGTGATCTATAATATAAGGCTTATAGTTTGATAGTCCCCATATTTTGTTGTTGTTGTGTTGTAAATTTTATTGAATGTACTAGTCAGGAATTAAAAAATACTAAGGAAACCTGAATTAGAAGTGGCAATTTTGTCAGAGTACTGGATCTCGAGCACTAGTGTTGACACCATTTAGCAGGAACAAAACAGATAAAAAAATTTTTCTAATTCTTTCAAGAGTGAAAAACGATATTTCCATCTTTTTGTATATTTCTGTAATAAGGAAGCAAATAAATATATTTTTTGGTAAACTAACTAAACAAACTAATCAAAAAACATAGGGTCTATCTTTTATAAAATATGTTTTTTATGAGTCACATATACTGATTTCTTTGTCACGTTTGTAGACATTTCGATAACATCGTGGATGTTAAGTTTTCCGATTTTCCGACCTTTATGAGAGCTCACCGTATGAAGTTTAAAAGTAGTTTTGAAACTACAATGAAGCGGGTATCCAATATGGATTCCGCGGCTCCCTTTTTGTCCTGCAAAGGTGTCGATGTAGGGCGGAGCACAGGCAGGAATCCTGCACGTCCCTAAACACCCTCCGTTTTCCGATTGGCCGACAGTCTGGTGTCTGGATGCTGCTGATAAGGACCCGGGCACGGGATGTGTGACGCTGATATCGCGAATTGTTATTCCGGTCATTTCCGGAGCAACACTCAAAGTTTCGCGTTCAATCTCGGAGACCATGAATTATTAGTTTGTTACTGAAAGTGCAGGTGCGTTCGTTGACAGATTTGGTGCAAATGGTAAGTGGCGCAGGTGGTTTTTAATAAAATTAATTAAATAATTATTTTGGTACACGGAAAAAACAAAATACTTGATTCGAATTTGAGCATAAGTGAGCTTTGCATTTACTCAAGAATATGCCGGTTTAAATTATTACTGGTTTTCATGCATGAATTCATCTTATTTTATGCTCTAAACACGGAATCTGATATACAAATAAGTACCACACGTAGGTTTTTAATTTAATATTTATTTCATCAAAAAACAATATTATTAAAGTATGCATTATTATAAGGAAATAAAAAAATGTTGCGGCTTGAGTACTACAGTAAAAAATCCTAAATTATATTAACAAAACTAATAAATATCGTCAGTTATTTCATTATGGAGTGATAGAATTCAAATTATTTAGTAGTTTTCTTCCTCTTCATAGATTCCATTGGAGTTTCTCGGTGAATTGACCAACAAAAATCAGCAAGCATTGCTGCTGACCATTTTCCATTATAGCGTTTTTCAATTTGCATTATATCCCGATGAAACCTTTCACCATGCTCATCTGATACAGCTCCAAGATTTTCAGGAAAGAAATCTAAATGCGAGTCTAAAAAATGGATCTTGAGTGACATCCTAAAACTTTATAAGCAGAAAGTAGCTCTCGAATGATTTGTTGATGGTTGTCACTTGTTGCGTTCCCAAGAAAATTATGACACACCTCCACAAACGCTACCCAAGCTCTTTTTTCTGCTTTGCTCAACTTCGAATCAAAAACCTCATCATTCATGAGCTCACGTGGTGGAACTGGAGGTGGAGTGTCTTTAACACGAGGAATTGGTCTCTTTGCAGATAGGACGTTCGAATAAACAATCTTATCTCTATTTTTTTTCGAGAATCCTCGTGTAGATGTCATGCAGAAATAACAATCATTGACATTGAAAACGGCATGGATTTGTGACTTTCTTCAAGCCAACCTCTCAACGTTCTTGAGCAGCTATTGCAGTATACTTTTGGCAACCAACTTTTATCTCGCACATCGATAGAAAATCCAAAATATAGCTTATAAGCTGTTTTAACCAGATCGGTCATGACATGTCGCTGTGTTTTTAGTATGTATTCCCCACAAATGTAGCAAAAACAATCTGAGGAATTTTTACAAGTCCGTCGCATTTTGTAACCTAAAATCACATAAAATTAATTTTAAAACAACTTTCAAACTTCTATTTTATAAGTTTTCACTGAACTGTTGTAGTGTCACAATGAATACTGCGCATGCCCGTATTTACTACCATAAAAATCACCTTCGGCACTTCCCTCCTTTCTCTTACAACTCTCTGAAACTTATTTTGTATGTATATTTACTTTTTGTAACGTTGACGAATGAAAAAATTGAAAAAAAAAACAAAATTTTAAAATATAAAAAAAATCATATCAGAAAACCTAGACGTGATAGAAAAAATCGACCAACGGGGATAGATTCAAAACGTTTGAATCATTATATTTATCATAATCAGTGTTATAAATGGCAAATTCTCAATATCCTAAGTTTCTTTTGACAAAATGAAACGCTTTTTGCCTTATTGAGCTTTTCGATATTTACGTAGCAACTTGAGTTGAGCATACCGATTCGTTATATAAAGTTACTCTATTTAAAAGAGCCTAATTTTATATTTAAAAACAAGTTATGCCTGTTTTGTTTGATCTTATGCGAGTTTGATATTGGTGGTTATTTAACTGTAAAAAGGGAGATATTTTTAGAGTAAATTTTTGTATAGTTTTGTGCCATGCCATTCTGCCAATGGAAAACTTGTATTCTGGGAAATGGGAAAATGCAGGTTAAAAATATAATTTATATTTTGGCTTATATTATCACTATTAATCAATGATCAATCAATGATCAATGATCAATTATTTTTAACAAATGACAAGTAGTTAAGAAATACTTTAAAAATATGCTTTTTCAGAGATGTTACATAATAATTATGATAAAAATAATTTCTGCCATTGTTAAAGGCCGGTAGTAAAAACATATTTTTGTAAGAACCAGATATTTCAAGTATTTGCATTAGTTTTATCTATCCAAAACTAGTATTTCTTTTATTATATACAGATTTTTGTGATCCAGAATGCAGGTTTAATCTAGCATGCAAATAGTTTCTAGACGAAGAAAAAAATTCATTACCTAGTTTTTTTTTTAATCTCGAAAAGATACGTATTGCACTTCGTATAGGCAATTAATTTTTAGTGTTATAAATTTTCTGTTAGTGTTTGGTTGTCTGCTTCCCCTTATAGTAAATCCTACAAAAAAGAGATTGAAGTTTAACCTTTTTTATTAACAAATAATAAAATATTCTTAAAATTTTGGTCACCTTAAGACGTGCATGAACATGTGAATTGCTGTTACCTAAAAAAAAGAACTACACTTAATCTTGACAAAAATATGGCACATATTCTTTCCTAGCTTTAAATACTTAAAAAGTATTAAGAAAAGCTTCAACATCGTGTCATGACATTTTTTGATCTGTATCTAGTTTTGTCAAAATAGAGGGATCCCTACACCACGTACCACATTTTGGTACTGCATTTAAATTCTAAAACAGAAAGCTACACTCAGATGTATTTGGGAAAAATCCCCACTCCCTATAACATAGATGCAGGTACTAAATATAGTAATAATAATTAATATTATTATAACGGACTCTGGTAGTCCCCAACTTTTCAATGAGTCTTCTGTATTTATTGTTACACAACCCTTACGCCTTACACCGGTAAAAACTGAAACTGCACTGCAATCAACTTAATCAAACAGTACTGTACGACTATATACTATAATGAAAAGCATATAAAGGTCCTTTCAAATTGAGGGTGTCAAACTTATTACATCAATATTAGGTAGTTTAAAACAGAAAGTATATTATATATATAAATTATATACCATCATTTTGACGAGGCAACACTTTGCAATGATGATGCAATCTAGTATGAAAAATGTATCTGAACCGCGGTCCTTAATTTAAAAAGATTTAAATTTAAATCTAGTAGAAAATATTGAAGATACACGTAATCTAGAATTAGGAGTTTGTGTTTTCCTGTGTAGCTGGATTTTGTGTAAAACGTTTAGTTCGTTTTCCGTTTTAAAATTAAGACTCGAAAATGAGAAAATGCATTAAAATGATAGAATAATGTAGCAGTTATCGAACCTGATGTAAGTTTTACTTAAAAATCGATTGAAAAAGACAAAAGAGAACAGGGAAGAAACATTGTTTAGATTTTCACTAAATATTTATTTCTATACACGCGAGAGACAGAAATCAGAGCTGAATAGCATAATCTCTAATGTAAGTATCCTTAAAAACGAGGAAAGTAGATAAATATCTCTCCGCTGAAATAACCCTCTAGCAACCAAAAAACAAAACATATTTAGCATAATATATATTTATATAGAAAAATAAAACAGGAATATGATAAACTTTTAATTGAAGAAAAAAGGAAAAAATGACAGGTAAGTCGGGGATAATATAATGAAACCCATGTGGTCAATTTGTAGCGTAATCCCGGATCTTTTGAACTCGCAAGCTCATATTCCCTTTAAAAACAATGTTACAGGATATAGTCAGTCCCTGCAATACAAAATGAGCTACTGGAAATTTCAATCAAAATTACAGCAGACAAGATTCCAGGTAAAGTCTGTTCATAAATATAAGAAATAAGGAAAGACCCGGGCAAGCTGTAAGAATGAAATATGGCCGAACAGGTCCGTACTTTGCTTAGAATTTAATTATTTGGGGTTTTGCTAGGAAAGATACTAAACAATATTTATTTATTTATGTATGTATTTATGTTTAAATCTAAAATAAAATTACAAATTATCTTTATTACCTACTTAAATTACTTAAAATCATTTACATAATATATCAGTATCACTATCGCCATCACCTGTTCTAATTATTATTTGTTCTATATTATTTGCAATATGGATATACGATTGTTCTGCTTTTTCTATATGTTTAACAGAATTTGTCCAACTTTGTGGAGGAAAGTTCAAACCTTCGGTTTCTGTAAGTTTGAGGACACTGGAGTTAACACAGGGAAAAACATTGTTACGACGAACGGCAGATTTCAGTTGGTGCCAAACATGTTCAATGGGATTAAATATACAGTATGTACTGTATGCCCTAGATTTTTTGCATAATTATCACAGACGTATTCTTTTTGTAGGTTCAAGCTTTGTAGAGCCTCAATTAATTTCTTTTTGGTATAATCTTCGTGAAAATAAATGTCGTTATTATACATGTAGTTTTGCATTGTGACGTTTGTGTCACATGAGGAAGGGGTTTTAGTCAACTGTCTACTGTGATAACTTGCATTGTCCATTACAATTAGGAGGAATGTTTGGAACTAGTTTGCTTTTGAACCAACTTTCAAATAAATCAGCGGTGGTGTCTTCATGGTAATCCACAGAACAACCTTTAATATTTTTCGCAGACAGAGAAAGTCCATTTGGAATCCAACATCTTTAGAATCAGCATGCAAAATAGTTATTCTTTTACCTTTTTTTGATGGCGCGTTTGTTTTGCACTTGAGTCAGTCAGTTGAGTCAACCCAACCCTTTTCCGGGGTATCATAAGTGTCTAACGAGGTTTGATCCAAGTAAATAATTGGCCTTTGTTGTTCTCTGTAAATCCTAATTTTTTTTAAATATTTCAGCCGCCATTTCCGAATTCTAAAAGATTCCATTAAAACTTGCCTTTTGTCAATTTTTTTAAATCTTAAACCCTTGTGTTGAATACACTTCCATAAGGTAGGTCTGCCACATTTAACACCGGTTTTTATCTGTTTCAAGCCTCCTAATTAAGATATCTAATGTAGGCACTTTTTGTTCAGCGTAAATTTTACACCGTATTATATCTTGATCACTTCCATCTACACTCGAGAAAATGTCAGCACCGCTTCTTTTTTTCCTTGCTGAAATGGGATTATTCACAATTTTCCATACAGTTGATGTTCGAATTTTCGTCAATGTGGC